CTCTCTCTCTCTCTCTCTCTCTCTCTCTCTCTCTCTCTCTCTTCCCTTTCATTTCTTCTCCCTCTTTCTGATTCTTTCTCTTCTTCCTCTCAGTCTTTTTTTTTTCTTCTTCATCTCTGTCTTTTTTTCTTAGTTGCAGATTTGTGTGATTATGAGTTTTTTTTTCCTTGAAATTTTGGGGCTGATTATGGTTGGAATGAGGAGATTTGATTGTTTTGCATATAATTTGATTTGGATTGTTTGCTCAAGTGACGGAGGAGAGTTGGCTTTGATTCGGAGAGACTGAAAACAAAAACGCCGAAAACGAAAACGACTTTCTGGCGTTTTCAACATTTATTCATACTTTCATTTTCATTCTCAGAAAACAATTTCGGCTTGTTTCTCAAAATAACCCACCGAACACGTTTTCACGTGAAAACAGAAAACAAAAACAGAAAATTGCCCTTGAAAATGATACCGAACGGACCCTTATTTTCTGAGACCAAAAAAAAAAAAAATCCTTTTTAAAACCCTTTTATTAACAGTCCCCGGGCCGCAAGCCCATATGAAAATTTTATTGTATAATATAGGTAGCCTATGCATAAAAAAAAATGAAAAAACTTCTGGATACGAGATTGAATGTTTTTCTGATGTTGACCGACAGATGTTGCCCGAGACAAGCCGACCGACATATCATGTTTAATTGATTTTTTAATAGTTTAATAAGCAATATTTTTGTGAATTTGAGGTTTGGCAATTTACATATATCAATATTGAGGTTAATTAAAGGTTGGAGACATCCCTGGGAGGGCCACGGTTATTTCTTTCTACATGAAAATTCATCAATGCAATTCAAAATAACCCAGTCATGATATGATCCCTAAGTTCCCAGAAATCATCCAATAATCTATTAAATTATAAATAAATAAAAATGCCTGATGTAAGCAATGCTTGTATAAAAAATATATATATGTATGTATAATATATAGTATTTGTACCTGTGCCATCAATGGTAGACCTTCACAATTTTTAGCAATCTCCCGTCCAATTCTCTCTATATCAGAACTACCATCTGAGCAAGCTGCATGTTTCAATATGGACCAGCATTCATCTGTTGATAGAAGGTCCAATTTAGGTCGCGGAAGTGTTTCTGTGAGTGATGCAACTATGCCACTGCGGGTAGTGACAATAATTTTGCTTCCTGGAGCAGAATTCAACTTTGACAAACAGCTCTTCAACCTTTCCCATTTCTCAGACTCTTCATTCCAAACATCATCAAGTACAAGAAAATACCTTTTTCCCGACAACTCTTCTCGGAGGTTTGTAAGCAATGCTTGCTGACTTGTCGTCGCTACCTTTCCTGAGAGTAATTCTAACATCGCAGTTAAAATTGAATTGACGTTGAAAGTGTTTGATACACACACCCACAATTTTTTGTTGAAATACACATCGATAGCACCCTCATTGTACACTGACTTGGCCAAAGTTGTCTTTCCCAGTCCTGGCATTCCCGCAATCGCCATAACCGACAGATTTTCTTGATTCATGTTGGAGTTGGTCAATGTTGTAACTATGTCTGACACAACGTCCTTCCTTCCAATGATGATTTCATCTTTACTAATGAATGCGTTGGTTTCTCGGTCCTCTCTAATTCTTTGAGGGGTTGCATCTTTTTTCTTTGCAATTAATCCGATGTAAGATGCTTCGCTCTTGAGGTCCGCCAGAGAAGCGCTGATTTTTCTAATTCTATGTCCCATTTTTTGTCGAAACAAAATGGGATTGGAGGCAGAAAGGAAGTTGAGCACCTTTTTTCCCATATGGTTATGCAGTTCTACTCGTCTCCGGAGAAATTCATAGTTGATTTCTTCCAAGACATCATCAGCCTCATCAGCTATGTCTTTAAGTTTCTTCACCCAGCCTTCCACTGGCTTGCCACCATCTTGTGCCTTCTCAGCAGCACCTCCTAAGAAATCTTGAAGGATGGATAAGGATTCATTGAGCTTCCCTAGTTCAGCTTTGAATCCCCAGGCAAGACTGATTTCGTGAGAAACAAGGGAAGTCAGCTTCGTCAGTATTCCCTCGGTCGCGAAAGTAAGCACAGGTTCTACTGCCATCTTAGTTTCCTTGTCTAAACCCTGCGCAAGACAAACAGCAGATCATATTAATGCTAGTTAATTAAATAAGAAACGAGAAGAAGAGACTGAAGATGGATGAAGACGCACAGGCACAGAGCTTCTCTCGTAGGTAGAAGGAGAAGGAGATGATGAATGCAGATTTGCAAAACAAGACAGCAATAGCACGCAGAGACAGGCAGAGGAGCTTCTTTAACTCTCAGGAGGAGACTTAAAAGTCTTGCTGGGCTCTACCATTTTGATATTTGTGGACACATGCATTTCTCACCAACTGATCATGAGATACCTCCAATCTACTTTATAAAGTGGTTCTGCATTACCACCGTGGCATTTGTCAGGTGGTGGGACGGACGAATAATGAGACGACACCTGAACAGCTGCTACTATCTGCTTTATACCGTGGTACTTGTTTGGGCCTAAATTTGGTGCGCCCAGTCCAAAGTCAAAAGCACACGATCATTTTTGACAAACACCAACAAAGTCAAGCCAAGACCGTGCATTCGAGCCCAACGAAGGAAGCCCAGAAAATATTAAAAGCGCATGAATGACCTGGGCCTCAAAGAAACCCAAAATTGGGCTTGACTTGTTCAAAATAAAACCCAAATAGAGAGAGAGACTCACGTGACTTACCTGAACTTTGAAAAGTCAAAAATTTCAACTAAAGTCACAAAGAAAAGTTACAGGAATTTATGAATACACTCTTGCAGAAAGGTTTCTCTAGTTTGGTACAGACAGAGAGAGATCAAAATCCCGTTATATATATATAATTCGGCAGACACTATTTTCAAGTGATACGCAGACTGTGTTTTCTAAAAATAGGAGATAAGCAGGAAACAGGGAAAAGGGAGTTGCTTAACTGGAAAATCAAACTTACCATCACAATTTGAAAGAGCAGGTAGACTGGAAAAAAGGAGGTGAGGTTCCCCATCAAAAACAGAAGTGACTGTCTCGGGAACTGATCATTAAGGGCCTAACTGCCATGAAGTGATAAAACCCCCTTTCTTTTACATTTAAAATAGAAGATCTTTTTGGGAATTTTTGCCGCCCATTATTAAAAATTAAAGTCTTTACTCCCAAAAAGTTTTTTTTCTATAAATATAAGAAAGGGTGAACAGATCAACACACGCAATCAAACACAGCCAAAAATCAGTCAAAAGACAAACACTCAAAATGATCACTTGATCTCAGAGAACCTTCAAGCAAATTGAAACAACCAAAAGCTAGTTAAGCCACAAGAAAAGCCAGCTACAAGTCAAGATTTTCAGTTTCTAGACTTAGAAAAAGTCATCCAAAAACGAGATTTTTCTCGTTACAGTTAAGCCAAAGCAAGTAGAGTTTGGATTTTTCACAAATATGAAAACCTCAACAAATTTATGGAGAGCCCTGACTAAGCAGAACAGGTGCCACAGTACGGTTCCAGTTCAGTAATCTTCCAGTACAGCCACTTCTGTCCCTTTCAGACCAAAGAGGTCGCAGTTCTGCCCGTTCACAAGCCTTCCAGGGCTTGAAATAGATTAAAGCTCTGCCAAACCTAAGTTTTGTTATCAATTTGCAGCTGAAGCTTAGCAGTTGAAGTTGTTGAAAGCCCAGTCTAGCACAGGCATACCCAATCCAGCCCAGATCAGAAGCATCTACCCAGACAGAAATGGAAGCGCAGCCCTCTTTTTGTCTTTTTATAGTTACTTTTTCCATTTTAAATTTTGTAAAAGGGAGTTCTGCCTGAAAACGGTTCACTCTCTTATCATTTATTCTGGCTAGAACTACCAATTTTGTACTGTGAAAAATTGTGAAGTCCTCACCAGTTTGAGGCAAGAAAAGAACTTACTTTGGAGATATTCCTCACCCAAATTCACAATCGCTTGTTCAGAAATTAGTAACTTGGGGCGCAAGTTACCTATTTCAAAGAAGTCTGCTAGAATTTTTCATAGCTAGCAGTGGCACGCTCGCACACTAAAGAAAGTTGACTTGTTGACCAGTCAATGGTTTTCAAGACAATGGGGAACTTTACCCTACCATCACAGGAGACAAATCAAAACGGGTGAACAGTAGTGTATTACCAAATGCATTTGTTGGCATTTGTTTGGTGGTGGTACCAACGAATAATGAGACTACAAACAATTTCATGAACAAACAGTCAAATGTTACATTAAGTTCATGAGAAAATAACTCCATTTTAAAAATGCAAAACAGGAAAAATAAACAAAGTGTAAAAACAAAAGGGTAAAAAACATTTTTAGTTACTAGAGTTAGAGCACTTCCACCAGTTTGCCCTTTGCCATGGCAAGGGGGGGCTAGGGCAGCTACTATTCACATGAATAGTGGCTGCCCTTGCAAAAGGTTGTGGTGTTTCCACCCATTGCCATGGAAACAACTATTCACATGAGATATGAGGAGAGAAATTTGTATAGAGTTTTGGTGTGGGAAGTGAAAACTATGGCTAAGTATTTATTTTTTTTAAAATCTGAAATTTTTTGTAGATTTTTTTAAATTTTTTTTTGTTGCTGACGTCAGCAAACCTGGGCTTGAACTCGAGCTCATCTTGCCTGAGGGCTGACTTGGTTTCGTGGGCCCCAGCAGCTACGTTGACCAGCCCTTGCTGCTAGAAACGGTTTTTGGGCCTAAAACCCCCCAGCCCTTGTTGCTGGAACTGCTCTTAGTTAGGTACGAAAACAATTTTAATCACCGTAATTTTAATTTTTCCAATTTAATCATCACTCTCTCTTATCACTCACCATTTTAACCTAAGTTTGAAATCATCAATCAATTTTGTTTTTTAGAACGGCAAACCAACATTTTATGCAACATGTGTAATTTGCATAAATAAAAATGGACTAATATACATATTTTAACACAACAGACACGAACTAGTTTGATGAAAAATTGGATCCTCTGATTAGATTTGCTCTTATACGTGTTGTCTATGTTGCACGGACACGGGTACGGGGACACGGAAACGCGACACGGCGACACAGAAAATCTCAAAAAATTAGGACACGGGTACGGCTAGGACACGGCAATTAAAATAATAATTTATTCTCAATACTTCAATGTCACATAATTCCATAAAACAAAACAAATAACTCATGTTCATCATCCATACATAATAATCAATACACCACAAAAATAAAGCATAAATGATCTAACTCTCAATCTTCTTCAAGCATCTATATCTTCATTGTTGTTGTTATTAGAAAACAACACATCCTCTAATTCTGGTTCATCAAGTGATTCACATTCATCTTTCCCTATAAAAAAAATTCAGCATGGTTCACATTCATTATGTCTAATACCCAATTAATAAACCAAATTCAAATATACTCAACAACTAAGTAACAAGACTTTTATTAAAAATAAAAAAACAAATACAGATACAGTCATACAAAGATACCCACACAAAAAACACATCAAAATGGAGAAACAAAATAAAAAAGTTGTAAAGCCTAACCTGAGTTTGGCCACGATTTCTTTTTATTATTTGTTGTGTTTCTCTTTTAAAAAAAAAAAAAAAAACAATTGTCACCTCACCACTAAATCCAACTCTGCTACTACTGTGGAGGGAGATAAGAAAAGAAAATAGAAAACATAAATAAATGCATTTGAAAACAGAGAAAAAAAAATTGCAAAGAGACTTACGGTTACCTTGTGCAAAACCAGGAGAAGGGGAGGAGAAGAGCGGTGACGGAGGAAATGAAGTTTGGCAGCAGAAAAGGTGAGATTTAGGTTTAAAAAAGTCTTTTTCCACTTTTAGCTCATCTTTTTAAAAATATTTCAAATTAGTCCACCAAAGTTTCAAAAATCACGTTTAGACCCCATATTTTATTTTCAAAATTTCAAACTGGTCCCTGCCGTGTCTTGACCGTGTCGGAGCCGTGTCTTGACCGTGTCCCAACCGTTGACCGTGTCCAAGGCGTGTCGGGGGCGTGTCGGAGCCGTGTCGGCGTGTCCGACACTCCGACACTCCAACATTTTGGAGTGTCCGTGCAACATAGCGTGTTGTGAATGAGTGGTGTGGACGGAGCACTTGCCCCCACATGTTGGAAGAGATGATTGCACCTTCACGGATGGCATCCAAAGCTTATCCCATAAATAAGGCTTTCCCCTCCCTTTGCAATAGCCACCGACGCTTCCTGTCCAGAGAGAAAGAAAGAGAGCCAAAGAAATTCTTCGATATGGACAAAATAGTGAGCTACTTTAGTGATAGTTAAAACACATGGTGTATCCAATTCAAACTTTTAAAGGTTTTTTAAAATTTAAAAGTATAGAGGTATCCAATTTAAACTTTTAACAATTTTATAAAATTTTAGTAGTATTTAATTGTGACTTTTTAAAATTATGGGTTAAATAATTTTTTTGTCACTGGGTTTTACACAAAAATTCAATTTGGTCACTTAGAAAAAAAATTAGCCAAATTAGTCACTGTGTTTCCCAAAGTTCACAATTTATAGACATTCTGTTATCTTTCGTTAAATGCTATTTTTATTCAAAACATTTAGGAATCGCCTTCAGTCTTCTTCCTCTAACTCAACCACTTATGGTATATTGTGCTATTAGAGTTTAGCAAATTGGGGGAAATCTTGGGTTGAAATCAAAATTGTGAGGTATAAGGAAAATAAAAAAGCAAAACCAAATTAAAATGAAATCAACAACTTACCAATATATTTTGGTGCTCTATCACCTTGATTACGTCTCCTTTTCATCCAAAGTCACAATACGGTTCTCACTCCTTTTGTTAGTATGAAATTTGTATTGCCATTTCCTAGACTCTAGCATAGTTTGAAAACTAGTGTGTGAAGAATTGTTACTGGACATTTTGGCACAACTCGTTCAACCCCATACTTCCGAGGCATGACTTGACCAATATGAGGAAACTGTTTTCAGGTAAATCATGACATAATCATGCATTCATTTTAGGATTCCTAGTTTGAGTTATTTTCAATAAAGTATTTTTATGTTAATCCTATTTTTAATAGGATTAGATTTTATCTCTTGAGATTACTTTCCTAGTTGAACTCTATTTTGTTTTAAATTAAAATATTCCTTTTTATCTCAAACTTGGAGTGCACGTCCTTTATCATTCATTGTTTGCTTCATACTATAATTGGTTTTCTTATATTAAAAGATAGGATTGGAAGGTAATTGGAGGCATGCATAAAAGCTGGCGAATTGATAGAATCAATGAGGTGATTTGCAATAATTAATCTCTTAGGCCTTAAAAGCAATTCCCTTGATAATGGGCATAAATATTGCGGGACCTTCTTAGTATTGCA